CTCTTCTACAACCAAACTCCTAACCTCTTCTACACCTAAACCCCAAATTTTCAAAACTAAACAACCTAATATAAGTTCCCTAAACTAACCACCTAATCTAAATTCCCTAAACCCTAACCTTAAACCTAAACCCTAAACCTAAACCAACTTCCATAACTTATACCTACATCTTCCTAAACCCCAAATCACAAATTTTTTTTAAAAAACTAAAAGAAGTATACAGTCATCGGAACGGTTTTTATCAACCCCACATAGCTTTCCTCGAACTATCTACCTGAAGAAAAGCCCCAAGCTAATTCTTTGAGGAAAAGCTATGAGGAGTTGATAAGAAACTATTATGTTGACTGTGAACTCCTTTCAGTTATGAATTGAGTATTTTCTATTTGTTTGGTGTGTTTCAAATGAATCACATATGGTGGTATTTATAGAAATTTTCGAATCTGAGAATTTACTAGGAAATTGCTAGGAAAAGTAGGTACAAATTTTAAATTCGATACTTTCTATCTAGTTCCTCTTAATTTCGTAGTAAGAAAACTCATTCCTCTTAATTTCGTAGTAAGCAATTACTAGGACTTTACGAGGAAACTGCTTTACTAGGAAATAGCTATGCCCGCGTTTTTTCCTCGTAAAGTCCTAGTAATGTTACTACGACTTTACGAGGAAACTGTTTTCTCGTAAGTATACGAGAACCTTACGAGGAAACATGGTTTCCTCGTAAACTCGAAGTAAACTCGTAGTAATTTTACGAGGAATTATTTTCCTAGTAAAGTTTCCTAGTAAATGCTTAGTTTTCTTGTAGTGTTTCCAAAATTAATAAAACATTTCTTAAACTGAATTCACAATAAATCATTATAATTTTTTTAACTTACATATTTCATATTGATACGATAAATATTAATGTCGTCAATAATATACAAAAAGTATTTATATAATAATTTTATTAACTTACATATTCATATTCAAAAGATGGCGATGATACAAATGACGGTTTACAAAACAAAAAAATCCATCAGTATAAACTATAAAATTATTATGTTTATAAATATCATATTAAATAATAATTGAACACAGATAAATTTTGAATATATATAATATCACTTAGAAAAAAATATTTTAAAAAGACAAAAAAAAAACATCCACGCATATATGGTTTAAATGTACACAAACTTAAGCTCATTTATAATTCTATATCAGTTACATCAAGTTTAAGTTTTAATTTTTCTATGTTCCAAACTTGGTACGTAGAAGTTTAACAATCATTTCATTTTATCACAAATGTTATAGCTAATGTATCATTTATAATTAGCATGCTAATTCATAATTGTTTATTTTCGTAATATTCGTTTAAAATATTTATTCGCTATATATATTAGACATGGATCTAATTATGTAAATATTGGATTTTGTTATATAGTACTCATTATCGACGATACATATTACATTAAATGAAAAATATAAAATTAAGTACAGATATAACATTTAATTTTACAAATATGACTATATTTACAAATATAACAATACGTACAAACACAAATTAAAATATAAAATTAAATACCCGTGCAGTCAAGATTTAGTTTACTTATTAAGAAACAAATCATCGTTTGAACTCAGTCCTAAAACCAACTAGAATCTCTGTATAGCATCATGGACTTTAAACAAATGTTTCTTTACGGATCCCAAAAGTAGAGGATTTTTTTCTAAAATATCCAATACACTTGATCAGTTTTAGTATATATATAGTAAAATATATATATTTGCATCCATTGTATATCTGCACATCCATGGTTTTAGATGTATCCTTTTCTGACATAAAATTATACTTATATACATGCCTGCAGAGAATGAAATATGAAACACACATAATCGTAAATGTCTAACGATACATACTTCAAACCTATATTTTTTGTTCTTTTCCTGTTTGTTAACCAGTTCTCATGGGTGGAATCTCAGACTAATGGTCTCCCTGTGGATACAGTCTTTACATTTCCCGGTCCTTTGCCTACTATCCTTCCCGATGAGGGAGGTTTTGGCAAAGGGATCATAGACTTGGGAGGTCTAGAGATTGCTCAAGTCTCCATCTCCAACTCAACAGCACAAAGAGTATGGAGTACATATGAAGGAGGACCAGACGACATGGGATTCAGCATCTTTGAACCTACAGATCTCCCTTCTAACTTCTTCAAACTTGGCTTCTATGCACAACCAAACAACCAGAAACTTTTTGGTTCGATTCTTATTGCAAGAAACGTATCTTCAACTAGTTTATTACCACCAGAAGACTACATTGAAGTTGGTAACACTACATCCTTGGAAATCAAACAAGACTGGCCAGCCTATGTTTGGCAGCCGGTATGTCCTGATGGATATCAAGCTCTTGGTATTTTTGTCACTGCTAATCCTGAAAAGCCTCTTCCAACACAACAATATACAAGTTGTGTTAGATCCGAGTTTACGGAACAAAGTGAAGTTGGTACATTGGTCTGGGGGATAAAAGGAGTTAGTGTTTTTAATTTGAGACCGGTCATCAGAGGACCACAAGGAACAGGTCTGTACACAGGAACATTTAGCTTTCAAGGACTAAGTTCTACTCCTCCTCCTCCTTTATTTACCTTAAAAAATACAAAACTTAACATGTCTTGCATGCCAAGCGAAGCTCAAACTAGGGTTTTGTTTCAAACCTATTCTCCTTTGATATATTTCCATCCAAATGAAGATTTTCTTCCTTCGTCGGTGGATTGGTTTTTCTCCAATGGTGCATTGTTGTACCAGAAAGGAAACGAATCAAACCCTGTCCCAATACAACCAAACGGTACAAATCTTCCACAAGGTGGTTCTGATGATGGCTCGTTCTGGCTAGACTACCCGGTGGATAAAAACCTAAAAGAAACGGTTAAAAGAGGAGACTTGAGTAGCACGAAAGTGTATCTACACATCAAACCAATGTTTGGTGGGACTTTCACCGACATTGTCGTATGGATATTCTGCCCTTTCAACGGTAATGCAAACCTCAAGTTTCTATTCATCAAGAGAATATCTTTAGGGGATATAGGCGAACATATTGGAGACTGGGAGCACGTTACTTTACGTATAAGCAACTTCAACGGCAAGTTATGGCGCGTTTACTTTTCTCAGCACAGTGGAGGAACGTTGATGGAGGCGTGTGATCTTGAGTACGTTGATGGTGGAAACAAACCAGTGATATACTCGTCGCATCATGGTCACGCAATGTTTTCAAAACCTGGACTTGTGTTGCAAGGCAACGGCGAGAACGGAATAAGAAACGACATGGAAAAAAGTGACAAGGTGTTGGACTGTGGTTCGGGGTATGAAGTGATTGCAGGTCTCTCAGGTGTGGTTGAGCCACCGTGGCTTAACTATTTTAGGAAATGGGGACCTCACGTAGTTCATAACATTGAGAAGTCTCTCGAAGGTTTCGCTAGGATTTTGCCGGGGTTTATTCGGAAACGTTTCTATAAACTTATTAGCAAGATTCCTGTTGAGATACTTGATGAAGATGGTCCAACGGGTCCTAAAACAAAGGTGAATTGGAGCGGTGATGAAAAGTATTAGTAACTAGGTGTTTTGCCCGCACATGCGGGCTTAATTATCTTTTAATCAATTTAAAAATCATCATAATAAATAATTATTTGCATCCAAAAAATTTGACCGAAAACATTAAACTTTTCTACATGATAAAGTTATTCACAAATTAAAAAAAAACTATTTTTTTCCTTTATAACTTTGAAAAATCTAAAGTTTATTTCATTTCTTCTTAATTGATAAAAAAAATATAGAAATCTATCTTTCCATTTGAAAAATTGAATCGATAAATATACATTCAAAAATTAATCGTACAAAAAGAATAATATTAGTTTAGATGATAAAACAATATATTTGAATTTACTTTTATCAAACACGTATTTTCTTTATTTTTAATGATCTTTTATTTTATATGATTAATTCATGTTTAAGGTTTAACTATATAAAATATAAATTTAATTTAACGTGTGAGTTCAGAAAAATAGCTTCACAAATATATACATATATCATTATATTATTATATTCTTTTAATAAATAAGTTCGTATTATATTTTTTTAATTTTATCTTTTTAATTATATAGAATTAAAAATTTTATTTTATAAATACTTATTTATGTGTTTTTTTGAATTTTTTTAATTAAATATATTTTCTGAATAACAACACAATATATATAAGAATTATGTTTTTATTTTAAATATATATTTACATTATGGATAATTCTTATCATTATTAGAATTGAAATCATTTATCTAATCAAATAAGTATTAAATTCGTTTTTATTTTTGGCTAATTTATATATATATTTATTCATTAAGGGTATAATCGATATTAACCACTCCAACTTTTAACGCGAGAGTTCTGTTTCAAAAAATCACTTCGCAAATAATAATTTTGTATTATATTTTTTCAATTTTCTCTTTTGAATTATATAAAAATTAAAAATTTTATTTTATGAATACTTATTTATGTGTTTTTTTGAATTTTTTTAATTAAATATATTTTCCGGATAACAACACAATATATATAAGAATTATCTTTTTCTTTTAAATATATATTTAGATTATGGATAATTCTTATCATTATTATTAATTTAAATCATTTATCTAATCAAATAAGTATTAAATTCGTTTTTTTTTTTGCTAATATATATATTTTATTCATTAAGGGTATAATCGATATTAACCAATCCAACTTTTAACGTGAGAGCTCCGTTGTGAAAAATCACTTCGCAAATAATAGTATAGATTTATTTATTGTAGATTGTTGCGATAGTATTTTATATTTATACATGTATTTCATTTGTTGTGGAAAGTAACTAAGATAATATATCGTTGGTTATGTAAAAGAAACTTATAATCTACAATTAAAATACTTTTCTATATATAAATATTTATTACTGTTTAAACAAAGACGACCGTTTGTTTCCTCATTTTCATCAATAATACTATTTCTGAAAAAAATGATTTCATAAAACATAGTTCTTATTTTTTATAAGTTTTTATTAAATTATAATAGAAAATCGTAAACTTTAAAAAGATTAAATGGATTTATCAATTTATTCATTTTTGTTAAAAAATTGAGAAAAAGATAATATATTTGTAATATATATTTACTATATTTTTTATCATATAAATAAATATATTTTTTGTGAAATGGATGGCTATAAACTAATACATCATGTCATATTTGTCGAAAATTTCTGATAAATTTTGGACTAATATAAAAAATGATTGCATAACAAATTTTTTTTTTTTTTCGAAATTGTGTCGAAATTTCGTGAGAATTGTTCGACAATCTTCCTTTTGTTAATATGTCGTTGAAAATTTCGTATGGATCATAAAATAGGTATTTGTCAAATTTCATCAGAAACTGATTAAAATTCAAACAAAAAAAAACAATATCGAAAGCTCCTAAATTGAGAGTATGCATACTCTCAATTTAAAAACTTTAATGAAAACATACATCATTTTACCAAAGGTGCATACTTTTAATTTAGGAGCTTTTGATATATTTTTTTTTGTTTTGAATTTAATCAGTTTCGTCAAAAATATTGTTCTCTTTGTTTCTTCTAATCATTTTTCTTTGTTCATATTTCAAAGATGGCAAATGTTTACGATATTAAAGAAAACAAGAGGAGAGACGGAGACTGAGCATAAGCAACTTCTTAAGTCAATTAGGTAGTGTCCGTCACAGGCAATGCGTCGGTTATGTTGTAACTCGGGTCGGTAAAGAACCTTTCCTTATCCATGATGATGTAACTAAGCTAGCTATTTCAGTTTAAATCCTAAACAGTACCGGCCCCGAGGGAAAGCATTACAAGCAACCGCTTCCGGCCCTAAAAAAATATTTGAAAAATTCAGCCTTTTTTATAAGAAAATTATTATTATAGTATATAAACATTCTTCTAAAAATGGCCAATTTTTAGAAAATTGCTTCTGGTATTTCCCATGTCAGAACCGGTACTGATCCTAAACGGTTCATTTTAAAAAAAAACTAAGTTTGCATCAATCCATAATTCGTGTCCAAATAACTTAAATTCTATAATAACATTCATGCTAAACAAACGAGTAATATGTAAGCCAACAATGAGCCCATGTAAGGGATCACTGAAAAAGATCCCGAGGACAAGTTGAATTGGTGGAATATTCAATTTAGCAAACGAAGAAATTGCACCAAAACATTAATGGTCTTGGGACAGAGTGCGTTTGCAGAAAAATATATGAAACAAAACTCAAAAGTGAATAAATTTGCCAGTAGATTAAGGGCCTGGAAAATCATGAAATTTTATCAAATCCAGGCGAGTGATACTGCCGAGTTCTATTTTGCAAGGTTGATTTTTTTTATATAAATTGACTGGATCATTGATAGTCTTTAATCCAATCAAAGAAGCTGAACTTGCTTTTCTCCGACCACAAATACAAAGACCACGTAGTTATGTAATAACTCAAAAGGAGAATAAATTTGCCAGTAGATTAAGGGCCTGGAAAATCATGAAATTATAATCAGATCCAGGCGAGTGATACTGCCGAGTTCTATTTTGCAAGGTTGTATTTTTTTCTATAAATTGACTGGATCATGATAGTCTTTGATCCAACCAAAGAAGCTGAACTTGCTTTAATGGAACAATTCAAGATAAAAAAAAAAAAAAAACTCGTAAAACGAAACTGATTTAGCTAGAGGAGGGAGATGAGAGGCGTTGTTGGAGAAAAGAAAAGAGGAGAGTTTATATTGGCAATCGAAGGGGTTTGAGTTGTAGAGATTAGGGTTTTTGTTTTCTCTATTCTTTAATCTAGAAAATGGTAATGGGCTCATTGCTTTTGTTAGCCCAAATTAAAAGTAAGCCCAATTAAAGTAATCAGAGTTTACATCTACAGGGGTTAAATGCAAGGATTGGTCTGAACATAGACGTAACCCTGTTTGAATCAAAAATCATATCACATTCCAACAGAACCACTCGAGGAAGAAGGGGTAAAAACTTGGCCCCAATTCAAACTAACATCATCACTGCAATTATGTAAGCTATAGAGACTCACACCAAAAAAAAAAAAAAACATGAGCATCTACTAAACTTTTTATTAGAGATGCACAAATGGTAATGAACATATATTGCTCTGTTTGAATCAGTTCCTATCTTCAGTTACGTTGAGCCATTTGCATCGCATTCTCACCAAGGGGGTTGGGATGTATAGTTCTTGCGAAGAGGATCCTAAAATCTACAAGTCTTCGCGTGAGGAATATGTTGACTGAATTCATCAGATCTTCCCATTTGTCTCGGAGCCAGAGAAGGAGAAGCACCACAAGAGCCAAAGCGAAAGAAACTCCGGTGATCATAAACAATCCACGGAATCTATAAAGAGTTATAGGATTTGATGTATCATCTGCTGTGTATGGAAGTTGATTCTCAAACCATCTTTTCTCCATCTCGATAAGTCTATCGCTCGTCCTCAGGTTCAAGATTTCGCTTGACACAAGAGGCACCAATTCATCACCCTTTTGAAACATCTGAAAACGTATCTTTTAATTATCAGCAACTTAATAAAGAAGATGAGTGGGTCAGGAAACTGATGATGGAAAGGGATACATACAAAGCCGAAACCATTGGTGTTACATTGTGCCTTGACCATGAGAAACTTCCCAAGATTCTCTCCAAGGAGGACTTTGAGGTATGGCAACTCATCAACAATAAATGAGACAGTGTTGTTCAACAAGGCATGAGCATAATCTGTAGAAGTATTGAGACCCTTGGTATTAGTTGGTTTGAATCTGGGACTAGTTAGAGCCATCGTTGCAATGAGTGATCCCGAAAGATGCCCCACAAAATCTTTATTAGAGTTGAATCTTATTTGTTGCACCGTCATCATTGATGTCAAAGTTGCAGTATAACTTGTAGTTAATATGAGGACAGCAAATACCCAAACTGTAACTACAAATCTTGATAGGTTGTGTTGTAGTTTCTCCCCTGTCATAAATAGTAAGCAGCAGAAAGTGAGAAACTAATAGCAACTCAGTTTCTATGATTTTTTAAGCTTGCATAATCAGATCAAAGTCCACATCTATTGTAAAAACGTTTCTTTTGGTTGAATCAATTTAACATTATTTCACAAAAAAAAAAAGGTGAGAAACTACGTAGAAGCATCACGCATATAAGGGGTTAACGTGCTATTCCCACGAGATAGATCTGTACTTATCAATTTGGGAATGTATCTCGAGATGATAATTTCGTGGACATTTGATGCTATATAATAGTTTTTGTGGGGGAACTAACATGTTACCCCCGCATATAAGACATGTGAAAAGGTAGTATAGTACTTACTATGAGCATAAACAAGGGTAGAGAAGCCGAACCAAAATATAACTCCGATCTGTTTCGGCCAAGAACCCTGGAACTCTTTGTTATCAGGTCTTTCTATCAACCAAACTATAGAGCCCGTCAAGACAAAGAAAGCTGCACTTGTTATCCAAAGGTCTTTTTTTAGAGGATGAAAGAACACCCACATACTTGTCTCCTTTGGTGCTACAGTTCCAAGACCCATCTCGGTGAATGGCATCGTAAAATCAACATAAGTCGATCTATTGGCAGTGATTGTAATATCTCCCACCGCTGCATCATATTTGTCTTTCTGTGGGATGCAACACAAATGATTCAGTTTCCACACACTCAGCATGAATAAATATGTGTGATCATAAAATGAGCCATGGTTAGTATGTAGTAGAACCTGACTATAAAGTGCATATGCAAGTTTGTTGTAGTTACTTCCATTGCGCCAAGGTATGAACTCCAGTTCATAGTTAAAAGGTGCAATGGCAGCCCGGAAGACTTCTATACAGAACCCTTCGGCTGTTGTAACATTTGTTGCTGAATCTGTCTCAACCTTCATCAGTCTTGGGAACCTGTTGCTAGATGTTACTAAAACCCTCAGCTTTCTTCTTTTGAATTCTCCTAGATGGCGCCTTTTTGGAGTTTGAGCAGACCCTCCAGGCCAGATTATGGTCTCCAACTTGTTAAAATGTCTTCTACTACTGAAACTACCATTACCATTCCAAAACCCTATTCTTCTCTCACCTGATTCCAACAAATTAACAATCTCAAACTTGTCTGACAAGAACATCTTATCCTTCACATGGAAGTCACCACTCAAACCCTTGAACCTACAATCTGTGATAGCCTCAAGTAGAGTTGATGATGCATTTTCCATCCTCGCAACTTCCGCTGCTCTCGCCAGTGCCCATGCAACATCATGAGCCCATACACCAGAGATACTCAACTGAGTTCTCTCAGACCAAACATCTTCTTCATGACCTAATGACTTCCTCCATCTCCAAGTAAAGTTCTGAAGCTCTCTTGACATTGGAACGTATGACTTGAAACCAACCAAACCTTCCATTGCCTCTTTTCCAAAACCACCACTAGTACTCTCATGAAAACTTGTCATGGTTTTGGCAGTGAGGATCCAAGCAAAACCTTCACCCATCATCCCCAACTTCTCAGCACATGTGAAGAGATGAGTAGCAACAAGCTCAGACAAGTGCACAACAAACACACTCGTCCCCAAGTCTTTCATCTTCCCTAACCGATCCATAATCATTTGGTCACTAGAAGAGACTGTAAAACCAACCTTGGATTGTACGCTAACACCGTTTTCATAAAAATGATCCACAAGCTGTTGCATACTCTCTCTCCAGTCATCATCATCATCCTCGTAAACAAGACCAACACTGTTCCAATCAAACTCATGGATGAAAGCCGTGATCCCCTTTGCCTCAGAGTAAGAATCATATGTAGCTTGGATCAAATGACTGTATTTAGTCAGTGATGGTGAGAAAGGAGAGTTTAGTGAAATCACAGGAACCCTAGCTTTCTCTCCAAGCTCCCCCAAAAGCTTTGTCTCCAGCAACGAGTTCCCGCCGCTGATAATTGCCTCCACTCCTTCAGATTGCAGCAGATCTACAGCTGTCAAAGAAAAAAGATAACACATAGATTGTGACAATGGAAACAGAGGAAGAAGTAGAAAGAAAAAACAATGGGGTATATATGTTACCACTTACCAGAAAAAAGAGCTAAGAGAGGCTCTCCTTGAGAGTTTCTGACTGAGAGAGAGACTCTTGTTTTGTAATCAGTGTTAACGGTGTAGAAATCAGAAAGCGCCGTTGAAACAGAGCTTCCCACCATTTTTCCCTCCACGGAACCGAAATCCAAAACCAATCCGACCCGGATCCGAACATAAACGTCATCGTTTTGACTTGAAGCAAAACAGTTGGAGTGGATGAAAAGAAACAGAACAAGAAGAAATGATAACAGAACTAGGTTTTGAATCCCAAACCTCTTCATTAAAAAAAAAAGGTTTTCAATTACAAAGGAAGAAACACAGGACTTCTTTTATCATTTTTATTATAATTTTTGTATTTATATAACCGATTCAAACGCAACCCATGCCGTGTTTTGTTTTTCCTCTGTAGAATTATATATTCCAAAAAAAAAAGAATAGAATACAAACTACAGAGTTTAGTAGAAAAAAATATCGTAAGTTTCTCATTCTCCATTGGACCGTATGATTAACAGTAGTCAACGAGTTTACCAAAAGAACTAAGTCAACGGGTTTAATCAGCATAAAAATGGGAGAGAGAGAGTGGTATTTCTTTGGCGTACATATTCAAAAGGAAACTCTATGTGAGTTTCCGACGTTGGCTACTCTTTTGTCACATTATTTTTGGGAACTCGATCATGGTTGTTTAATAATTTAGTTCAATAAAAGAGAGGGAGATGAGGACTTTAACAGTTCAAAGAAATGATCAACGGACTAATTTCAGCAACAACAACTAAAACACGTACACCATTTGTCAAGGTCGTAAAAAAATAAATAAACGAATGTATTTTTATTTTGGATTGTATTTAACTTTTGTCGGGAAGAACGTTTCAACAAGTACATAGTGGAACAAGTCAATGATGTAAACTCTAGAAGTAGATGAAATTTTTACAAAGTCGTCTCATCTCAAAAGTAAACTATCATTTATGATGATCAAACTTGGTCAACATTCTTTAGGCAGCAAACTTCAGCAAGGCAACTCAAAAATCACAACCTACTACTCATTAGCTCATCTGATGGTCCAATGATTTTTTTTTTATCCTAGTAAGAACTGCATAACTTCCATGAGAAATGAATGAGTTGATCTAATATGAGATTATGTTTGCTAGCTGCTAGGAGAAACAACCTAGACTCAAACTAAAAAGGGTGTTTAGGATCTTATTAATACTGATTAGAGTGAGTTGTTTTTTGTGGACTTGGTATGGATGGCTATTAAAGAGTAGGTTATATATAATACGTAGGCTTCTTCATGTGTTTAGTGTTTGTACTCTCATGGTGGCCATGTTAGGTTTCTTACACTAAGGATTGAAACTTCTGTGAAAGTAACAACGTCACAACAATTGTGTAAGCTATAGAGACTCAGGGCACAACACGCAAAAGCAAGTGCATCTACTTTACTTGTATTAGAAATTTCATTTACATATATGGTAATAAACATATCTTGCTATGTTTGAAATCAGTTCCTATCTTCAGTTACGTTGAGCCATTTGAATAGCATTTTCGTCATCAAGGGGTAAGGGATGGATAGTTTTCGGGAAGAAGATCCCAAAATGTGCAAGTCGCTGGGAGAGGAATATCTTGGTTGAATTCATCAGATCATCCCAATTGTCTTGGAGCCAGAGAATGAGAAGTAGTGCAAGAGCCAAAGCTGAAGAAACCCCAGTGATCATAAACAATCCGCGGAACATATAAAGAGTTAAAGGATTCGATGTATCATCTGCTGTGTATAGAAGTTTATTCTTCTCAAACCATCTTCTCTCCATTTCAGTTATTGTATCGTTCGCCCTTAGCTCCAAGATTTTCCTGGAGACAAGAGGCACCAGTTCGTCTCCCTTCTGAAACATCTGAAAAACGTATATTTTTTTAACACAAAGAAGATAATAAAATAGTAAAAGCCGAAACTGTTGAGGGGATGGGATACGATACATACAAAGCCAAAACCAATGGTGTTATAATGTGCCTTGACCATGGCAAACTTTGCAGGATTCTCTCCAAGGAGGACTTTGAGGTATGGCAACTCATCGACAATATACGAGACGGTATTGTTCAACAAGGCTTGAGCATATTCTTGAGCAGAATTGAGACCCTTGATGTTCGTTGGTTGGAATGTGGGATTGTTTAGGGACATATTTGCAATGAGGGAGCCCGAAAGATGCCCCACGTAATCTTTGTTAGAGTTGAATTGTATCTGTTGGACCGTCATCATTGATGTCAAAGTTGCAGTATAGCTTGTAGTCAATATAAGTACTGCAAACACCCATACTGTAACTACAAATCTTGATAAGTTGTGTTGTAGTTTCTCCCCTGACACAAGTCAAAAAGGTGAAAAGCTAAGCTTACATTCTCTTTCAGCATATTTTGGTTCATGTACGCAGAAAAGGTAAGAGTGTACTTACTATGCGCGTAAACAAGGGTAGAGAAGCCAAACCAAAATATAACTCCGATCTGTTTCGGCCAAGAACCCTGGAACTCTTTGTTATCAGGTCTTTCTATCAACCAAACTATAAACCCCGTCAAGACAAAGAAAGCTGCACTTGTTATCCAAAGGTCTCGTGTTAGAGGCTGTAAGAACACCCACATACTACTCTCCTTTGGTGCTACTATTCCAAGACCCATCTCGGTGAATGGCATTGTAAAATCAACATATGTTGATCTATTGGCAGTGATTGTAATATCTCCCACTGCTGCATCATATTTGTCTTTCTGTTTGGGATGCAACACAGAAAGGATTCAGTTTACACACACACTCAACATGAAAAGATACTTGTAAAATCATGGTTAATACCTGAATAGAAAGTCTATATGCAAGTTCGTCGTAGTCACTACCATTGCGCCAAGGTATGAACTCCAAATCACAGTTGAAAGGTGCAATGGCAGCGCGGAAGACTTCTATACAGAACCCTTTTACAGTTGTAATATTTGTTGCTGAATCAGTCTCCACCTCAATCAGTTTTGGGAATCTATTGCTAGATGTAACCAAAACCCTCAGCTTTCTTCTTTTGCTTTCTCCTAGAACGCGGCGCCCTCTCGGAGTTTGAGCTGACCCACCAGGCCAGATTATGGTCTCCTCCAGCTTGTTAAAATGTCTTCTACTGCTGAAACTACCATTATTACCATTCCAGAATCCTATTCTCCTCTCACCTGATTCCAACAAATTCACAATCTCAAACTTGTCTGACAAGAACATCTTATCCTTCACTTGGAAGTCACCACTCAGACCCTTAAACCTACACTCTGTGATAGCCTCAAGGAGAGTTTGTGATGCATTCACCATCTCCGCTGATCTCGCCAGTGCCCAAGCTACATCATGAGCCCATACACCAGAGATGCTCAACCGAACATCTTCTTCATTACCTAAAGATCTTCTCAATCTCAAAGTGAAGTTCTGAAGCTCCTTTGTCATTGGAATGTAACTCTTGAAACCAACCACACCTTCTTCCATTGCACCAGTTCCATCGAAACCGCTCATGCTTTCAGCAGTGAGGATCCAAGCAAACCCTTCACCTATCATCCCCAGCTTCTCAGCACACGAGAAGAGACGAGTAGCAATAAACTCAGACATGTGCACCACAAAGACACTCCTCCCCAAGTCCTTCATCTTTCCTAACTGATCCATAACCGTTTCCTCGGTTGAATACACAGTAAAACCAGCCTTGGATTGTACGCCAACACCGTTTTCATAAAAATGATCCACAAGCTCTTGCATTCTCTCTCTCCAGTCATCCTCGTAAACAACAGAAACACTCTTCCAACCAAACTCATGGATGAAAGATCTGATCCCCTTCGCCTCGGAGGAAGAATCATGCGTCGCTTGGATCAAGTGACTGTATCTGCTCAATGAAGATGAGACCGGAGAGTTGAGTGAGATCACAGGAACCATAGCTTTCTCCCCAATCTCCGCCAAAAGTTTTGTCTCCAGCAACGAGTCTCCGGCAGTGATGATCGCCTCCACTCCTGTAAAAGAAAAAAAGAGATGACAATGGAAACAGAGGAAGAAGAAAGAAGAAAGGAGTATTATGTTACCACTTACCAGAAGAGAGAGCTAAGAGAAGCTCTCCTTGAGAGTTTCTGACTGAGAGAGAGACTCTTGTTTTGTGATCAGTGTTAATGGCGTAGAAATCGGAAAGCGCCGTTGTAACAGAACTTCCCACCATTTTTCCCTCCACGGAACCCATATCCAAAACCAACCCGACCCGGATCCGAACCCGTTTATGATCATAAACGTCATCGTTTTGACATGAAGCCAAACAAATGAAGAGAAGCAGAACAAAAAATGCGTTTTGAATCCAAAACCTCTTCATTAGAAACAAGAAAAAAAAAAGAGTTTCCAATAGCGAAGGAAAAAACGCACGAATACTTTTATTTTTTGTTTTGTTTTACAAAATTTACATTTATATAACCGATTCAACTCAACCCATACCGTGTTTTGTTTTTTCCTGTGTAGAATTTTATATTCAAGAAGAATTGTATACAAACTATTCGTATAATAGAAAATTGAGAGATTGGGCGTAATATACCCATAAGAGGCCCATATTGGCCAAATGCCCTTTGGTTGAGGAAAGCGATTTTCGTCTATCATTTTGGGCTGGTGAGGACGATTTTGCCCCTCCTTTCTCACTAACGAAAATCCCTAAAAATCGGCGTAGCAGAGACGTGTGGCAGAGCAAAAAGTTGACGAGATTTGGTGGTTGCG